CTGTATGGGAGAATCTTGACCGAGGTCGCCAGTACAGACCGAACGCAGTGAGGTATGTACCAGCAACCGAGGTCAAGATTCTCCCATACAGACCGACCTAGCTCGGTTAATAAGATGTTTATTATATGGCTCTGTCTGAAATGCCAATTTTCTATATGCTTTGTACCTTTTTTTTTTTTTAGACCAGCCAGATGCCAGTCTAGATTGGAAAATCTAGACCGCTATTAATATTGATCTCAGCCAATCAAATTCGTGAATTCGGTAGTTCCTAGTCCTTGTGAGACACAGCCATGTAATAACTTAGAGCGTAACAAGTAAACAACCGAGTTTAAATATTTTGAATGGAGATTTTTTGTTCATTTGAATCTCTTGCTGTGGATGATTGTGGCCATAATCCAAAAGACAGAAAAGGGGCTAGGCAAATAGTACCTTTACTGTCGTGTGAGAAGGAAATAGCAGGGTATTTGGCTCATTTTTCATTCGCTGGTGTGTTCACCGAGCATGACTTGATATTAAGTCCGACAACTGTTTTCCAATGACCCAACGATGCTGATACATAAACAATATGCCCAATTCATCGCTCAAGACTTGGTCTTGGATGGACTCGAGGGAAAAATACTAAATGCAAAGTGCCAGTCAATATTTCCAGGAAAAAAGCGAAGAAGCTTCCTCATATCTCATTCCTCCTATTTGGATTTCAGATTAAAAATTTCCTGCAACTTTTCGATTTAAGAAATTTCAAGCCACTTGCGTAAGAAATATAGATCTAACAATTGCGTGACACATAAGTCACGCAGTGAAAACCATGTCTACTCATGTCTTCAAAACGAATGCTTTCGGAGAAAACAAAAACAACTTCTACTGTATTGCAAGTACTTTGAAGACGTTATTTATATCATTCAAGCATTCATTATTACCTCTGATCATGAATTCAAATGATAAACAGAGTCAGTGTCATCTTTTCTGTCGCCGACTTCACCGAAGAGCGAAATTTCTATGAATTTAAAAAGCCCTCGTATGCATAGCAGCACAAAAACCCCAGAAAAATAACTCTACAAACGGTAAGTTTATCATTTCTACTTCTCTTGTTTCAAATAATAAACGTTTATTTCACCTAACACGTAAAAATAATTTTTTGAAGCTACCCTACCTTTCACACGGCACTTAAGTAAATAGAAAAATCCGTATTTTATTTCAAATTGAAATGGTCATTCTACTTTTTTATGAAAACTTAGGGGAGACATTGTTCTAAAGGTCTGTGAATAAGTAATCCAAAATTGGGCTAAATATTACCTTCCAACGACGCTAATTATGAGCAAATTGAGTTTTATTAATTTTCTCGAAAACAAAAGAATTTTTCAACAAACTATGTAAGTCTTGGTTTGTTTTACCTATAGGCCTACCTGATACTAGAATATGAGCCAATTCGATTTTTTGACTGTTGCCGTTGATTTGTGAATTTGTCTGATTTTTGGTAACATCTTCTCTTACTTAGTGTTAGTTGCTACGAAGATCGCTCTCGTACTTGTTCTTTAACCACAGTTCAAATATGAAACTTTCATATATTCACAAACGTTGATCCATGACTGTCCGCTTGATTTGAATATCCCCATGAGTATTGCCTCATGTCTTCCTCGTATGGTTTGCATGGTATGTATCTTTGAACACTTAGAGTTTGAATCTGGAAGGACCACCTTGGCAGGACATTGGTTTTGGTGGTGTTCGGGCTAGGACCCGCATGCCGCAGTGGGAGGATCTCACGCCCCCCAATGAGACTGGACTTATGACGGGGCCACCCTACTGAGGACATTTTTTTGGTGCGTTACTATTATGGTATATAGAAACATGTGCTTTTCGCTTGAAGTTATTTTAGTAGTCTGAACAAATATTTTAGTAGTCGGAACAAAACATTTTAGTAGTCTGAACAGAACAGTTGGTTAAAAGACCTGATGTGTCCCGAGGTTTTGTCTGCTTTGTCTTCTGGTGGTTCTTTCTAGTACTTTAGAAGATCTCTTATTCAGCCGGATTTCACTTCTGCTTTGTAAGTACTTCGTCTTCTAATCACAAATGGTTTTTTTCATACGATATGACTAGTCCTCAGGGGTGGAAGATTATCCACGTTTTTGGTGTGGACCTTTGCGAGCCTCTTGATTTTCCTGAGCCGAATTCATTTCAGATAACAGAAATTCCTACGATTCCGACGATTGCATCTTTCCGAGACCCTTATTGATTCTCTGGTACCTCGCTACCGTTAATTAAAGGAAAGATTGAAAAACAGATACTTACATAGACATCATGTTTTTCATGCCTTCAAAAACTCCACGCGGCAGGTAGTCAATATTGTTTTCATAAACAGCCCTTGAACAACAAAGAAGACACATCATTACTATCAGAAGTCTAAAAAAATTAGAAGTAAACACTTATTTTCATAAACTTCCACCATCTCTATTGATTCTTCAATACTTTCTCCCGAAATATCTTCAGAAACTTTCCGATTTTGAAAACATGTTGAATACTTTTGGGTAAGGGAAAGAGTTATTACATCCCTAATTCTATTCTTTTTCTCTCTTTTTCTAGAACTTCGGGGTAGCAGTTACTATCTTGGATAACATGGCATCTTGTTTAGAACTCTGCCGAACTTTCTGAGGTTTATCCAGTCAAAGAGCACGACCTTGATTATTTTAGAAAACCTTTAAGCAAAACTTGTGGAAGGAGGAAAGGGTAGTCTATTCGCCCCGCTGACCCTCTGTACCACTGCAAAAATATTAAATAAACTGTATCAGGAGCTCATCACACAGGTTGATGGGCTCCTGACTGTACTTGCGAGAGCTACTCCTCCCTTTTTTTTCAGTTGGACGTTCTCAAACCAAGAGTAAATAAAAAGAGCTAAGCAATTAGACGAGCAAATGATTATCAATCACAGATGTTGAGATATTAACATGGTCAATACTCGCTACTTTTGCTGTCAGGTGTGGTTTCCATGAAATGTTTACTTACAGGTCGCTCAGATTGGAGAGGCCTTGGAACTGATCAGGTGACAAGGCTACGAGGCTGTTGTTAAACATGTATCTAAACAATAAAATGCACATGGCGCTCGGTATAACTATAGAGTCTTAGATAGGGAGAGGTATTTGTTGACTTTAATGTTCTTTGGCAGCAGGCAGCTGATTACGAAACTTAGAGATTCTTTTAATTAGTAACCTTGATCCAGCATTATTTGTCAAGGACCTCGAGACTGTTTCTGTCCCGAAACCTCTTTCATATTATAGAAACTGTTTCATCAGTTGTTAGTTAGTCGTGTTAAACATGTATTTATTTTGGCGAAACCTCCTTCGAAAGTGAAGTAGTGCTTTGGTATCTAGCAAACTGTTTTCATTCCCTTCAGTGTACTCCAACGCTTCCTGAAAATAACACCAAAAATGTATTCGGACCAAAACGTTGGCGCCAGCATTGTGACAACTAAGTTGTATTATGCCAGGCCTTCAGCGAAAGAACTATGCTGGCCGTCGGTTAAACAATGTTTATACCTTCGCAACGCTATTGTAACATTTAAATACATGATCGGACGCGCGCCCATTTTCTTTTGCAATGGATTGAGGGAATAAAGCTCGTATTCCTAATCACGGCACCCAGAATTCTATGCTTTTAAGCAACTCTTGTCTGAAACAGGCGGAAAAGCCGCCAGAAAAATTTTGCTTTAAAACTTGACTTTTTAAATCCATTGTTTTCATTTAAACCCCAAGTTAACTCAAGATTGATTGAAAGTGTTTTAATAGCCGCTAAAAATGTTAATTTCTATCCTCGGTAAATTTTGATCGGGGATAATCATTAATCACCAGCCATCGTTACTACCATAATGTGGCTACAAAGCTCCAAGGGATGGTTGCTATTAAACTATTTTTAGGATGTGTTGTATTACATTGTGTTCTATCACCTTACACATTTCCCCTTGATTATACTTAGTTGACGGCATCTGTTTCCAATGTGGGTGTATATTTTTCGCGTTTTATTCTGTTAGCATCGTTAAACAAACTTGTAATATGCCATAAGAAGACGCCAGCGAAATAGTCCAAAGGTAAGCTGATATTGTATAAATGCTCATGAAACAAGTTACGTGACTTAACCAGGTTTTTTTTAACTAACGTTTATCACTTACAACGTTTTTATCGCGGAAATATTTTTGAAGCTTGGCAAGCGCTGAAGTTTGTTGCTGGAAAGAAAGCTATAAGTAATATGTAGAATGAAAAAGAAGGCAACTCAATTAGCATTTGAGAATCGGCTTAAAAAAGTTTTACTAGTTCTCTTCGAATAAAGAGACTTCATTTTATCGAAATAACCCCCTAATTGGATATTTTGATCACCTGGTATGTTGAAAGGTGCACTATAAATCAATAAATTATTATTATTATTATTATTATCATTATTATTTTGAGGACTTACGAATCTTTATGCATCTTAGCTGAGTATACAAACTGTTTAATCCCGATCTTGAGAATTTAGTAAAAAGATGCCATCTGCGCGTCCATTGATTACATAGGCCTTTTCTGTAGCATGATATCACTTCTCAATTTACTTTATTGATCTTATTGTAATAGCCACAAAATTTAAATTTGCGACGTTTTGAC